AAGGCTTGTAAACATTATTTTTTCACAGATGTTGACACTTCACGATACACCAAAAACCAGATGTCGCCTCCACCATTTATAGCACCTAGCGCCATCTTTTGCAAACGGACCGAATTAAGTTGTACACTCAATAGCATTGGAAATTTATCATTTAAAGCAAGAAAAAAAAGTGCCACGAACTGCTTGATAGAAAAAATCTTGATAATATACAGGGGAATTTCAAAATATATATGACGAAGAAAGACAATATATGTACAATTATTAACAGGACCATTCTAAAATCGTTGTATCAGAAAGTCTTCAAATAGAAACACGACCTGAAAATGACGAGCAGTTGCATTTTCGTTGTATTTCTTTTGGAGTAATTACAATTTCACCCATGCTTTCTTCTGTAGGTGAAGCTTATAGACAAATGATATTAAATTGCTCTCTAGTGCTCCTAGATTGGTCAAGAAATAGTCACAGCAGGCTTAGTACTGTTGTCTAACTAGCAACTACCGTAACAAATTTCCTTTATGAGGATGGTAATAAAATAAGGAAAACATTTTCTTGCGTGAATATAGGTTACTCGATTGTATCTGTGCATATTCCAAGATGTAGTAGTACGGAAACTCAGCTCAAATCAATTTTACAAATTTTATCGAGAGATTATAGTAGTCTGTGTTATGACCCGATATACCACCAATGATCCTATTCATGGCTTTGCGAAGTAGAGCACTCAGTCATACATAAACTGCATATGAACAAAACTTTATCATAGTGAGTGTTTTGGGGTATGCAAATCAATTAGCTACGATATTTTGTCCCCATAAGGAGGGATAAAAAGCATAGCAAAGACTATGGAATATGGTTTGATGGTCTGGATGAAAGATGGTTCGTTGATGCGAAAGTGGGGCGCGTGTTCGAAGAAGAGGCTCAGTCGTTACGCTTTCAATGAGAGTTGAGAGGAACGGTCCTTCATAAAAAGCGGAAGAGTTAGTGATCATTTATAATTGTATTTCTTTTTAGTTTTTAAAAAAGATTTAGCATGTTCATAGCTGAGTTCTTTGACATTAGACAACATGCCTACCATCTATTAAGTCCACAAGATACTCTACGAAAAGAAATGCGAGCTGTAGAGTGATTAGGTAACTGAAAGAGTTTTAGAATTAGCGTCAAAGCAATGTAGAAAACACCCAAGCTTAGTCAACATGGATCCTCGTTTTCTCCCAATCATTCAATCTCAGAACATAGCACATACTGCGGTGTATGAGCCGTCCCAGTGTTCTTTTGGTAGACCTGTTTTCAAATTATTCTCATGCCTTTTTTGTTTTATCTTCTTTCCGAACACGCTCGCTGAAGGGGCTTTTTTAATTTTCGCTGCTACAAAAAAATTGTCATTAAAGTTGTTCGTTTAATTGAAAGTAGAGGAATAAGGACAGAACTTCAAAGCAGCAAGTTTCACGTGAAAAAAAGCAGCTTAACATAAGAGGATGAGGGATAATCAAACACATGCACTTTCGGCCAAGTCAAGCAGGAACTTCTTTATTCAAATGTTCTATTTTACCTCAAAAACGCCCTCTCGACCTATATTGCGTTTCACTTGCGCGCAAAAAAAATTCTCAATGCGTGACTGAAAGAAAAGCCAAAGATGGAAAAATTGTTCACAATATGGCTGTTAATCTAATGGGTGTAATCCCACGTCGCACACAAAGAAGAGGAAAGTAGAAAAGAAAAGCAGGAGACAGTAACGTGAGCCAATGGTGGTTACATTCACTGTATAACTGAAAAAAAGTCTTGGTTTTACCACTACTCATGACACTTTGAGGGACTGAAAATAACTTTTTTGTAGAAAATTATTTTATGGACATACAGATAACAACAATAAACTTCAATATCAACAAGAATAACAGCAATAACAAAAGAAAGATTTCCTCGATAACACATAAAGTTCTATACATATATGGAATGCATATGCTTGCTGTGAGCACTAGCACTTACCATCTATCCCAAACCTAAACGGGCATGCAAGAATGCTTTCTCCTCTCGAAGATTGCGATTATTGGCAACGAGGATCCTTAATTAGAACTCATCTGATGCGTTGTCCTGGAAGATGACTGCAAAAGCTTACGCGAAGGTAGCTTTGAAATGTGCTGGAACAGTAGGATCCTGCTTTACTCGCTCGAATAGCTTCATTTCCCACTCTTCATCGTTACTGCATTGTTCCTAAATTTGGCAACATTAAAGAGACAACCAAAATGAAGATTGTACCTCATACTTCTATGCACTCCACTGATTTCACTGACTCCTGCTCAGAGCGGGGATGGACATTGATGACGTTGGTTGGAGCAAGAACTGTCTTAAAGAAAAACAATTCTTCGACTGTATCTATATAACCTCGCAAAAGAGGGAGGACTTGTTATGTGACAGAAGATTTGGGATTTGATAGATGTTTTTTCAAAGTAAAATTTGCAGGAAAGTACAAATTTGGTAAACTTTTTTGCACCAAGCATAAGTCTTGAAAGGCAACCTCTTTTCAGACCCCTCCCCCGCCACCACCGTTTTTCTCCGACCAGCGGCGATTGCGCTTGTCTGACCAAATATAAGTTGTCAAAAATGCATTTGAACATTTGCATAGTAAAGACCGGTCTTCGTTGAACGATTATTTTATTCTCATTATTTTTGTCTTTGTGATCAACGGTTTCTTTGAGCAAATTCTCAAAGCTGTGAAAATAAGCCAGAGATCAATCTTCACTCTGGAGTTTTTCCAAGACATCCGTTTCCCTCATTCTCAAACCCTCTGAGCATGGTCGGAGTCTCACATTTCCTGCCAGCAGTTCCTTTACCGCATTCATAATTTTCTTCAATTCCCTCTACCTTCTTAGACTTTCGTTATTATATTCTCTACCAAAGCCCTCGTTCTACCCCATCTATTAAATGTAATGGGGTACACGAACATGGTGTTCTGGATCACGATTGATCCTTTAGAACTGAAAGAGTCCACCACCGTGTGGTACCTATGTAAACGTCATGAACTATTTGTTTGCCCTTTTCATTGATTATAATATATTGCCTATAACATATTGGATGTTCATACCGATGACACAAGCTGATTATAAATTAGGCCTGCAAGCTACTGGTATTTAGAAAGTTGAGAAACACAAACTATTCAGACTTGGGT